GTGTGTGTGTGTCTTGGTATGTACTGTATGTGTGGTGGTATGGAGTGCAGGCTACGTTCCTTAAATCCCAGCTTTGAGTGAAATTCAGAAATTTCTCACTAACTTTAACCATAATCCTAACAATTTTTAATCTGCTGTTCTCTGACACAATATCCAGGGACAAATATGTCTACAGGGTAGATGCAGCAACCAAATGTCTTTCAGATTTCAAAACACATTTCTCAATCAATGTCACCTAGCTGGTTTAGACACAATAAAAAACACAACTAGATTCCTGATGTTTCACAATTGGCACTAAAAAAATCAATCCTGTACTGAAGTGCTGCAGAACAGGAAACAGAGTTTAATACCCAAATAAAACAGATGGAGATCACTAAGCCCATATTCAAGCTCTTACAAAAAGAACCACCAAATCCTTAATAATTATAGTGAGAACTGGGCCTCGTATTAAGATACAAAAGATTGCACCTCTTACAACCCAGTGTTTACTCTAACAATACTATGGATATACAGTATAATGTGTGACTTTTGTGCAATTGATCAGCTGCACAGAGATGAGGAGAGGGAGCTGTCATGATGTTCCTACCTGGGGATCAGACTGACGCCTGTGAAGTCTGAGAATGTGTAGACCATGGTGACAATCAGGGTGAGGACGACGATGCAGGCGTCCATGATATTCAGCCTGGAGCTGAAGTATGTGTGGAAGCTAAAACAGATAAAACAGCAGCACAGCTCACATTTACAGACACCTTTGAACACAGTGAGTTTCTAGGAAATAAGATCCCCAGTTTTAAAAGATTTAAGATGGAAAACAAATACAGAGAATGGTGATCTCCTTGAAAACACAATAAAAAATCATAAAGAGACAGGTTGATGAAGGACACATTCTTTTTTTTTAATTTAGCAGCTCTCAAAAATCTGTCATCTTCTTAGGCACGTAGATCAAAGGTCATGTATAGTTCTTACCAATTCTGTCACTTTTGCTTGTGAATTTACATAATGTAATGCTTATTTAGTTTTGACAAAATCACTGTGTAGTCCCATATGCTGTGCATGTCCCATAAATATGGCACAGGGCACAGAAGCACTAAGATTTTTCTGCTCCTAGTCAGGTGCATATCTTTTGTATGTGGGAGGAAAACAGATCATCTGGCAAATACCCACAAAAAACAGGGGAACTTGAGGAGGAACATGCAAAATCCATACACTGTAAGTGCTCAAGACTTGAATCAAGTGTCGGGCCATGGAGCTGCAAACTGCCCTGTTCCCTTTCCACCCCTACCGTAACATATTCAGCAGTCAAAATACTGGTTTAAAGAGTGATCACCTAGCCGAAAGAAAAAAAAAACTCCATCTAGGAAAACATCTTCTGTGACGTGCAGCTGTGTTTTTTAACAGTATTGACTCACCCTTCCACATAGACTCGGAGTAGAACGTCAACCAGGAAGAACAGGGAGATGGCTAAAGATATGGCTTCCAGGGCATCCCCTGCTGCTACGCTCTTGTTTGGAGTTGCAAGATCGACGATGACCAGGATGATATCCACGATAATGAGCACCACACCAAATATCCTGGAGAAAATGGAGCACAGGCCTTTCTAACAGTGCCAAATCCCTTGCCCTCATTTACTTTAACCCAGAGTCTTTCCTTGCACCACAAGCCAATACATGACAGGGTACTCATACTGTAGATACACAGGATCAATTCACCTAGTGAGACACCACCTAGCCAGCATGTCTTTGGAAGATTTCTTCCTAACATGCCATTTCTATTTTGTTATATACCCACCAATTGTGTCTTTCTGTCTTGCATCACAACAAAGAGCACTCTACCAACTTGAGAACAAGCCCATTGCAGAGTTTCCTCTGCACAGGCCTCTTCATCTTTTGTCATGTTCCATAGCCTATAGTGACGTACAGGAGGTTCAGTGCAGATCACAGGAGAGATGCACCTCTCACTGACATCACTATGAACCTGCAGGTGCCTGGACAATTGCAGGGGTCATGGTTTTGCTGGGAGCCACAGACAATTATTCTGAACCTTACCCCTCCCCTCCAACAGTGCTATATCAACTGTGTGCCACCTCTAGGGAATTCTCATTGTTTTTGTCTAGTGACATGACCCAGGCTCAAACTCATGGCAACCGGATCACAGAGATCAATGTGCACTCATAGCTAGTGCCCTAGTATTTTATGACAAATGCTAATATTTTACTAAGAGAAATTACCATAAAAGTCCCCAATAATACAGTTAGTGTATCAAGATTTACAATACCCAACACCAGTACACAGTACACAGAGAGCTCTTAAAACATGCAACACAGAGACACTTTACTGTCCTATACTAGGATATAATGAGAGCATCTCATATTGTCTGGCTTTGACATGGGAGGATTGCATAACCAGGACAATGACTATTATTAGCTTGAGTACTAAAATATTAAGAGTATAAATTGCAAGAGTAACTCCACTCATTAACTTTGAAAATCATATTACAGTTGATTATATTGCTTTGAGAAAATACCACAAGATACCTTATAGTAAAAAACATTGTGACTCAACCTGTTAAGGTACACTATAATCACAGGATCAAGCCTGAGTCATGTCACTAGCCAACTGTAACTGCGATTCCCACAGTTGGCTGAGTGCCTCTGAACATGAACAACAACAACAGCAACACAGAGACCACTACGACCTTCATTTATAGGCATGTGGTGGTGCTGAGGGATGCAACTCTCTTCATTTACAGAGATCCACATTTCTTTACATTTACACTTCTTCATTCTCCCTTGTGTGCAGTCACATAGTTTGCAGCTGTGAGACAAGATGTGGACAACACACAACTGGCTATTCCAAACTGGATCAGTTAACAAAACAAACTGGTCTTTGAACAGTTTCAAACAGAAAAATGAGAATCTGAGAGGAGACACTTACCGGAAACCAAATGACATCACAAATGGAGTGATAATTTTCTTTATTTGACTAAAGAGATTAAAAAAATTAATGGTGAGTTAAAGAGAAATAAGTGATTTCACTGGATGTGGTGTCATTCCCACAACTCCTGAAATGAGGAGATCACTTTATTTAAAGCTGTAGTTTGACAATCTGCAGTTTGACATTTGACAACCTCAGTAAAAGACTCTTAACTTCAATTAGAAACCTGCTGCACTAAGTGGGTAATACTCTAAAAATACGTATTAATACGTATTTTGGTTTCAACAACATTACTTTTTTTTCCATTTGTAGTTATCAACATAGTGATACAAATATGTATAATTTTTGTTATTTATGTTTTGTGAAAGCAAAGTTGTTTGGCTAGAAAACTAGAAATCCAGATAAAACAGCATCAATATTCCCTACAGAATTATGATGTACAGTAATTAAGATGACATTTGCTTTCATAAAAACAATAAAGCCAGACAAAATCATGTGTGAAATGGCAACATACTCACTAGAACATTGTGTCTGATTCCATACTTTCTTCCTTCCCATCATCAATTTCTACAGATGCCTCCTCCATGCCTTCATTATTAAAACTAGAGAAAAAAACACTTCTAAGCACAACTGCACGACAGAATTTCAGAAGGAATGACTGGAATGACTGCCTTGATTCCTTAATAGGCAGAGGTTTTCACGGGAACTGCACCAGCTCAAATCTTTCCTTGTAAAGTGTATATTACAGTACCTTCTCCAGATGTCTTAGCAGTGCACAGAAATGTTATTTTTAGCTCACACCAGCACAAATTATGACTAAAACATGTACTGTACACAGTTAATTTGGCTGAGGGAACTAAAGTTATTTTTTAATTTGAAGGAAATGTGTGTGTTGTGGTGGAAGCTGGATCTGAATTAGGAGTATAGATCTTCTTAATGTATATCAGTGATCTAGATTCTGATACTGTTAGTAAACTAGCCATTTTCACAACCTTTACATGTTCACAGTGCTAATAAAATAGGAGGAGCAACATTGAGAAGCTGCAAAGTAAATTAAAAAACAAATTTCAACACTGTTGAAGACTAGGCAAACACAAGGTGGATGGAATTCAATATTGACAAGTAGAGAACATCAAATATTAAACAACAAATATAAATATGTAAAACTGCTGCTCTGGAATATGGACGAATACGTGTATTTCACCTCTAAAATGACAGGGACATTTTTGGATTTATAAATCTTTTAAATTTTTTTCTCAATAAAGCAATTTTTTTATAAAGTGGAAAATCAAATAAAATATTCTAAGAATCCCTGCAAGCAGAGGTGTTTAAAATTATAATGATGTTTAAATGAATCCTTATGATATCAAGTCCTTTAATGTACAGTATATCAAGTCATTGATGTTTTTGGTGAATATATGCTTATATCTTACACAAATGCAAAATGGTCACACTAAACTGTTTGGTATACCTCATATCCCAAGAACCAATTGCACTTTTACTTAAGTCTCCCACTGCAGTAAAATATATAGCAGCTTCCAGAAAACGGAAAAACAGTTTTTAATGACTTACTCAGAATTTCAATAGTAAAAGTTAATATTGAGCCAAATGAAATGTGTGTTACTATTAAGTCAGCACTTAACAGTCTGAAGTTGTTAACTTACCCATTAACTTCCTTGGAATCTGACCCTGGACTAAATTTTATGGAGGACATACTGGCAGAAGTCTCTCCCGTTTTGCCTCCTTCTTTGAAGTAGTTAGGTATACACCAGAAGAGGGAAGCGCTTACAAAAACATGCAAGAATATTACATGTAATAAGCAGCAAAATAACATTACTGACAGGCGTGTTGAAAACGTGACTGTAGGGAAATGAACAGTTACAGTATGTACCACAATGAGCAGCTAATAACACAGTAGGTTTGTTCGGCTTCCCCACCACACCGATGAGCACATACTCTAAATAAGCATGTTCTTCGCAAGAGTCTCAGTTCGGCCCTGCAAAATGACAGGCTAAAAGATACTGCTGTGGCTTTCCAGGTCCTGGTCACATGTTAACAAGGCACTGCATTTCAGAGATAAATAAGCTAAAATGTCTTGTTGTGCTCTGACATATTCAAGGACATTGATGTGGTCCTATTTTACTTGTCCCAAAGTCAGAAAATTTGCAGGCAAAGAAATAACTACGAGTAAAGAATTCATGGTATTGAACAAGTATGAAAATAAGGCAAAGAACAAATCGCAAAGGTATTCTACTTGAGTCTTGGTTCATTTCTGACCTATCTTGGGCATTTCCTGACACACAGGAAGCTAGACAGCCACACAGCCAAAACTGTCTTAGATTCCTCTTGTGGCCTGAACATGCAATATTCAGACAGACCTCTTTAATAGCAAATGTTAAGTAGTCAGCACCACCCAAAAACTATTGATTTTGTGCACTTTTTCATAGGCGTTTTCCCCATATCTCTTGATGCCTCCTGCTGGACAATGGGAATTTAAACTTCTCCCTGCTAGTACAGTACAAGTGTGGTGTTGCTGCTGTTCATGAGCCAGCATCAATGTAATCAAGTTTCGGAAATCTTGCCTTTTTTTTCTTAAAAAAGTGATGAAAGTGGAAACACAAGGAGCACATTTGGATGCTGATTTTGAGACATTTTTTTTTATAAAACGAATAAACAGAAATAACAGAATATATGTAAAAGAAATGACAACGGGTTTCGTGTTTCATCCGAACACAGAAAAGTGGAAAAGCTTTGTAAAATCATCCTATTTACAGAGCAAAACACGGTCCGCAGGCCATATGTAATGCTAAAAAAGTGCACACTACACTATCGACACGCTTAACGCAAACCTTGGTATTTCAATGCTTCGTATTCTTTAAGAAAGAAGAATCCTTCACTAACACTCGTTGCGAGAGAAAAAAAAACTACTTACAGTACGTTAAAAAAATAACGAAATGTTTTGCATTAAAAGATCGTGAAGACGAACATACCAATCTCGGCAAGTGGGAGAAAGGCTTGCAGTCTTCAGTAAATCTATGTCTTCATCAGACTTGTTTTGGATTTTAGAGACGAGAAGACTGATTCAGTTTACGCCTGCTCATTTTAAAACGACAAAATCATACTCCGTTCATTTGCTTTATAGTCAACTAACTAACTTGGTCTTGTGACTGCTTTCTCCTCTTGAAGGAATAAGGTTCAAAGGTTGAGAGGGAGAGTTATTTTTTTTCCGTTTCTGCTATCCCTCTTCTTAGGCTCTGCAGACGTAGCGGTTTTCCACTTCCTGAGCTACGTTCCCAACATAATTCCGTTTTCCTTTCTTGCACTTAGTACACCCCCATCCTGTTTGCAACAGCTATTGAGACCCGCTATAATTCCACTGACTGTAGGTGATTTTACAGTAAAATAAACGTATCCAGACAACTTTTACTTTGTGTTTGCACTAGTATCTTACCGCACCATTGTTTCTTCATACTTGGCAGATGAAGCATTACGTCATAAGGTTGTAAAGGAAAGCTATAATAGTATTATTAGTATTATAATACATTTTAGGTCAACTGTAGTGTCTCCACATCAGTGTTTAGGGGGAAAATACAAGTACTCTTTTGCATTAAATGGATGCAGCCTTTCAATCCATATACTGTAGCTGAGCGTTGAACCAATAATTAGGCATTCAGCCTAATTATAAAATTATGTCCAAATTTAATTTAAAGTTCTAACAATAAATTGTTGTATTTAATGTCACTATCTAGAATCTTCTGGAACGCGATTTTTGTATCATATTCTAATATACAGTATACATTTATCAACATGTAGTAATAAATAGTTTGGGGAATGAAGACAGCAATGCTAAACAGGAATGTGTATATCATTTCTGGATTGCACTCCAGGCAGTGATGCAATATTGTCTTCTGGTTATAATGTGGAACATCTGGAACGATGACCAGATATTATAAATTACGAGGCTATACCGAGAAGCGATTATTTAGCACTTGGAGACTGCCCTCGACTCAGCGGTTATCGACTATAACCCACAAGCTGCTCTTTTTCTTGACATAAAGGTAGCTATGTTTCTGTCAACCAGTACTAATTCTCTAACAACTTTTGAGTGGAGGCGTGTGGTCTACATGATCAGGATCAAGGGCTTGTAAACTGTAAAATGGTAAAATGCTTCTTATGATTATATCGTTTATAAACAATCTTATCCTCTTATTTGCATAACAGATTACTGATGTGACAATCTTTAACGGTTTAAGATGAAGAAGAAATACAATTAATTAGAATATGTATTATAGCTATACATACTGTAAGTGAGGCTCAATTTGACTACTTAATCCCACATCTTGAAATGGGAAATCTGTAGTACTATTCAGTCTGACTTTGCTTTCTTTATCCACAGGTTGTGTGAAGACAAGGACATGTCTCTGGTGTTGATTCTTTTATTTGTGAGCCAAACTTTAGCAGCATCTCGCCTCTCGGTACGTATTTTCTTCTTAAGTACTGTACAATATTCGTATTATAACTTAGAGTGGATGCGCTATCTGGTATGTACAGTATATGGTTTTACTGCAGGCTATTAACTGTAGGTTTTGCTGCCTATTGTCAAATTATTTCTCAAGTACTGTACCTTTACAAAAATCACAGCCTAAGCAATAGAGTAGAAACACAGCAGGAAGTGCTATGAATTAAAGATTAGGTATGTGTTTGTGGGATTTCTGTTGATTTTGTGTATAAATTGGGTGGCATGGCAGCCTGCCTAATAACTCTTGGTTCATGAGTTTAATTTAGGAGTGCTGTGTCTCCAGTGTGGAGTTTTTAAGTTCTTCTGTTGTTTGTTTGGGTTTTTGTCTGGTGCTTTAGTTTATTCCCAACTTCAAACAACATGCTAGGTTATTTGGTGCCTCTAAATTATACCTGCATGTGTGTGTGCCCTGTGATGTTGTCTTGTCCAGGCTGTAGTCTTACCTTGCGCTGTGTCCTACTGGCGTGGGCTCTGGATTGCTGCCATCCTAACTGGAAAAAAGTCTTTCTGATGAGTTTATTTTTGGCTTACTGGTGGATACAGTATTTCCCCCTACCTTCTCCTTCAGGAGAACGAGCTGTGCTTGTCAGAGCTCTCTCAGCTTAATGACACCATCAAAAACCTGCAGAACAAGCTGTTCATCGGTGAGTGGCAGCTGTTGAACCTGCGACAGTACAAGTACTTTTTTGTGGACAACCATTGGCCCAGACACAACAAGAGCCTCCAGGGGCCAACCCTACTGCCCACCACAGGAGGAAATCTTATTGTGTATGACCAGGGTAAGAGGCTGTTGCTTGTTTTCCTGAAACAAATACATTTTCTTTCAATTGCTCTTCAAACCCAGTCCCTCTGGACTTTCGGGACCAGTGCCCTGCAGGAAGTAACACATATACACTCCAACATACAGTACAGTACATGCATTGATTTTCCAGTGGATTTATCATCACAGCATAATCCTCTTCTGATTTTTAGCAAAACATGTCAGAAAGAATGCAGGTGTGAAAACCCTAATGCCTAATCTTAAACATTTTTTTGAAAATTGAGATTGGAAGTTGTCTTTGTAGTTCATCCCAACTCCAGGCCTCAGGACTCTCATGGTCCATGTTTTTGTCCCACCCAACCCCTGATATTAAATTTAGGAATGGAGAATGCTTTACTTTGCTTTGGAAAAATCCATAATCCTCATCCTTGAGTGTTATTGCGTTACCAGGAAGAAGATTGGGAAGCACTGCTCTAAATGGATGTCAGATCCATTTTTTTTCCTGAGAGGGTAGCTGGGGATTATTAAACCAAAATTAACAGCTCATGATCTGAGAATAAGAGTTTAGATGGGTTGATTAATCCCCTCACTAGGAAAGGAAGAATGTGTCTTTTATGGCGAAATTTTCATTTTCTTCTTTCACAAGCCTGCCATAAAATCAATTAGCACTTGGTTGCAGACAACTCCTGCACAGTGACAGGTGGAAACAGGTGCACACTGAAGGCAAAATAAGGAAAAAAGGACAAAATACTTGGAAAAGAAAAAAAACAATGTAGCTGTAGATTTACACTCTCTCATTTGATGCGGTGGCATAGGAAGTTTGGCTGTTATAATGGCTTTTTTAGTCAATCTGGCTTACTAACATCAGTGCAAAAAAGACAGCACTGCATCCTGGGATGAGCTCCAAACAGTTTTCCCTGTGGACGTGTTTTTTTCTCACTTCTAGTGAAAAGCATATTACCATGGCTGCCACTCAGTCCTGGAGCGAGAAATTTCACCCATGTGAAAATCTTCCTTCCACAAAGAGATAATTTATTAAGGATCACTAGGTACTCACTGCAGTATGTCTGTGTTTTTGTGCTTCTAGTCTTAGGATTTGTTCAGCTGGCATGCTGAAGTGTGCATGTTATGCTCCTGTACAGACTGCTCAATGCTGTATGACAGACAAAAAGTGCCTAGTGGGTTCTACCGGATCAAGCCCAAACTGGTGGCAGAGCCTTTCCTTGTGTACTGTGACATGACAGATGGGGCCGGGTGGACAGTGTTCCAGCAGAGACGGAGTGGAAGAGTGGATTTCAACCGGTATAGTATGATTTCTCCTTATTGCTAATGTATTCCCTTACAATAGTGACCGCTGATACAAAACTTTGTCTATTTATGACCTTTTGGAGTTAAAGCATACAGTACCTGTTTATTCAAACAAAGCAGAAGGTGAAGAAAATCATGATTTAGAAACTTGTCAGTCAGCCATCTCAGAGTCCCACTAGTGAGGTCAGCCACTAGGCAACAAAATAGAATAGCCAACATCTAAGAATGATGAAATAATAATTCTGCATTTCTCCCTTCTGCACATAAGGAAAATGTGATGAAGTCTCTGTGTTTGTCATTGCGTGGATGCACTACAGAAAGCAGATTGTTTTACTTTAAATGTTAAGTTCTTCATTATGGTAATATGTTAACTGGTTAATATTAACATCAGGAAAAAACCACAGTACATTCATACATTTTTTTTCTACACTGTGTTTTGGAAAGATGTTTGGAATATGTTAGAGTCTAAATGTGTTTTCTTCTTCTCCAGAGAATGGAGTGATTACAAAGAAGGATTTGGGCATTTTAAAAGAAGTAATGATGAATACTGGCTGGGGAATGAACATATTTACTCTCTTCTCTTGGGTGGTAAAAAAATCTAAATTCTTTTTCTTTATTATTAAGAAAGCAATGCACTCTTCTGTAATTAAAGGTTTGTGAGCCTTCAAGTTAAACTGAAAGTCACATTTCACATTTCACTTTTTTTAAAAAAATAACAATACAGTGCAAAGCAGAGCACACTCTAATGAACATAAACTACAATGTTATATCTTCTCTTCCAGGTGACAATCTAGTGAAGATAGAACTGATGGACTGGAAAGGAGAGAAGAAGCATGCATACTATGAAAACTTTCAAATAGCAGATGAAAAGGTGATCATTCAGAAACTCTGTCTGTCACGATTCAATTCAGGCATCTGCTCTAGACACAATGAAAGCTAATGTGTGAGTTGGCATGTACAGTTTTAATAGGTATATGAATAACAAGAAGCAAGGATGACTCTGCATTTTAATGAGCTTTTCAGCAGAGTTCATAACCTTGAAGTTTACACTGCTCGAGTTCTAAAAGCCTCATGTTGGCACAAGTGGAAACTCAGCCCTCAAAAATTAGTTATACCACAGAATCTTTCCTACAAAATATACTATGATAACTGTTTTGGCCTTATGGCTTCTCAGACACTGGCCTGCCTTTGGTGAAACAAGGGCAACATGTACTGTAAAAAAACCAGGCTGTGAAGGACTCATCAACATACATTGTCAAATGAGTAGTACAAAACAAAATCAAGCTGTTTTACTCCAGTCAAGAACAGGTTTATGGAGTTCATTCAGTTTCCTGGTTAAAAGAAAACAAATGATTTAAATCAGATTGTGCATAATCCACAGAGTATTTCTACTTAAGAAAGTTCTTTACGTGTTTAACTTACTAATGCACATTTAGTATTTTATTTCTCAAGAGTTTACCATCTAAACTCTGCAGTTGAACAAGGTGACTCCCCCATAACATATCTTAATCTATTTCTAAAAATATACATGTGAAAAAATTATATATTTTTGCAAAATATAACTGAATAAAAAACATTTTCCTCTATTATTTCATAATGACTGCCATAGTGTTACGGAAAAGATTCTAAAAAAATTAAACCATAGTGACGCCTAGTGGGTAGCTTTAGAAATGCCACACAAATCATTCACAAACAGAAGTGAGCAGCTTTTTCAAATGGTCTAATGAAATGTGTAATCCATATCTTGAAAACAAAACCAATTAGTAAACAATTCTTTCTCTTAAACAATCTAATGACCGATGCCATAGCAATCCTTTCTTAGGGTCTGTTTAGACACTATGCACTCTTTCAAGCATTATTACACAGATCTTTTGTTTTCATGTCCTGCACTTATCTGCTACCAGTATCTCGATTTAGTCACAAATCACTTTATAATACAGTGCACGTTGTTAGAAAAAAGGCATTTTTCTTCCTTAAAAATTACAGTAGTATAAACTTGGATCATAGAAATCATGTTTTGGACCTTCCAAATTTCCAAATAACTTGTCCAGATCACAGTGATTTGTAAGCATCCCTTATACTTGATAGTTACCTCTTTCAAAACACAACCTGAGAAAATGTAGTTTTTGTATGGAGGCTAGGTCCCAACTACATTCCTATATTTTCCCGACAACAAGGTCCAAATACCACATAACCTTTCACAAGAGGCACTTCTGTATTCTTGTCACTTTTTACAGGTTAGCATTGAGAAACACTATCAACCAATGACTGCATTAGAGGTGAAATGTCTTTATTTGGAGCATTTTTAGATTTGACGCCTATGGTAATGATAGGCTATAAATTAGGCAGTGCTCCCCAAAATCCATGCTCTGCTCAATGTATTTTCAGCTTCTGCTCTTAAAGGTGGGAAGAAGGTGTACTTGACTGTCGTTGTGTTTTAGAATAACTACCAGCTGAGGTTTGGGCTGTACAGTGGGACTGCTGGCGATGCGCTGTCCGGGGGAGGTGGTGTGGAGCAACAGTGGTCAGCCTCACACAATGCCATGCTGTTCAGCACCAAGGACAGAGATAATGACCGCTTCCTGCAGGGCAGCTGTGCCAAGGAAAACAAGGGAGGATGGTGGTACAACAGGTATCCTAGACACAGGCCACACTGTTCAACTACCACATATTCCAGCCTCACCTTCCCTGACCTGCACGGTGCCTTTGAAAATGTTTCCTGGGATGACTGCTAATAACAGATTCTTAACACTTAAGTCTGAAGAACAGCTGCATGAGATTTTTTTGGGGGTAAATCAGTCAGTACTTCCTGGGAAGAAAATAAACAGCCACCTGGCCAACGTTTATACCGCAATTTATTTTGTGGAGAAAATTAAAAGCCAGTTTTTCACTTAATGGTGTCGTGTAAATAAGTACAGTAAATTGCCCCCATAATAAAGATTTGCTGCCTCCTAAATCGATCACAAAGATCAGGTTATCTCATGAAATGTTACTGGGATCACAAAAACATACTCTACAGTTACTATTTTTTCCCCCTTAGCTAATGATTGTTTAACACTGTGCTGCAGTTGTTATCTTGACAAGAGCAGTTGGCTTGTCAAGCTCCAATAGAAAACTGTGCCTTATGCACAGTTGCTTAAGTCTATGGTATGTTCCTCTCTGAAAAAAATACAATGATCAAGACATTTCATGTCACATGAAGTGTGCCATTATATGAATAGAAAATAACACAAAATAATCCTTTACTAGGTGATTTCATTTCACAGGATGCCTGCTAGTACAACAGGTGAGACAAAAGGAACCTACTGAAAAGGAAAACATTATGATTTATCATAAAATATAGTGTATCTTGGGTACTTTTGGAGTGATGTGCAGGTTGAAGAGGACCGGCTTGTGCCCCCACACAAGTCCCACTACTGTCTCAAAGCAGGGAGAATAGATTCAAACACTGTAGTTTCACAAAATATGTGGATTTTAAAACATAAAAGAAAGCTTGTGTTCCATATCTCTCCCCTATGTCAACTGAATTAGGGCTGATTTCAGTCCCTCCCAGAGTTCAAGGAGGCCTCTGTGCTTTGTTTGTCCTGCAGGTGCCATGCAGCCAACCTGAATGGAAAGTACTACAGGGGAGGCGAGTACAGAGGAAAGTACGACAATGGGGTGGTGTGGATGACATGGAGCGGCCTCTGGTACTCCCTCCGGCATACTACCATGAAGGTCAGGCCACTGGTCTTTATGGACAGCTGGGGGAGCGGTGAGGGAGGGCTGGTATAGGTTAGCAATAAGAGTCCCCTTTCATCCAGGACTCCAGGCCTCTCTAGGCCCTGCCATTCTCTTCCCTGCCGGTGGAGACCAGAGTTCTAGAGCAATACAGAGATCCTCTGATTGGTTGAATTCAGGGAATGATTTAATTCCAACAGTCATTTCTGTGCGCTGCTGATTTTTTTCTTTCTCAGCGGGAACTGTGACAAGTAGGAGAATACCAATGTTATGCTTTTTTCCATAGTTAAACACTTAAAATTAAATGTACCCACATTATTCTGTACCTTAACTATATCAGGTTAACTAAATAAACCTGTCTTTTTGTCATAATTAAGCTACCAATACTTAATTTCATTCTATTCCTTCCCTTCTTGTTTGTCTTTCACCTTTGGACGGTTTACAAAACTGGGACTAGATAGCAGTTTATACAAAAATAACAAATATGAAATGAGCGGAACAGAACTTGAATAGGCTATCTATGAAAAAGACCTAAACATTTTTATTGATTCAGCAGTGAACATATTCAGGCAGCGTAAGGAGACAACATAAAGCCTTACATTTTGCAAAACATAAGTTGTTAAGATTTGGTAATTAAATCTGTTATCTGTTATTGGTAATTAACTCAGTTGCAGTATAAAGCCATGTCTGATGTCAAATACATGGACGGAGATGATGATCTAAATAAGAACCTTAGGTCTGACAAGAAAACATGAACTTAATGAAATGGTATTTAAAACAATTTTTAAAAATTATTTCATTCCTTTAAGAAGGTTCAAGATAACATACATTCTTTGGCCCTGGAAAGATACTGTCAGCATAGATACTAGAATCTCAGTGGCAGACAGACACTTTCATTGTCCACTTTCACAAATATGTTCATAAATTAACAGAAAATATACATATGTAAATAACTGATGACCTAGACCTCCAGTCAATAGAGAGTAGTGATAATTAACTGTATTGGCCATTGAACTGGCTTTGCAACTTGTGTTCACCGCTTGCCGTATTCACACTGGGATGTTCCTAATACTCTAGGTTGACCACAAGTGGCTTCATTACTTTTTCAGTCAGTGCTCTGACAAAACATGAACTACATTTCAGCGACCCTGAGAGTATGATGTGCAGGTAATCATCACAGCATCTCAGCACTCAAAATCTCTGTTCTCATCCTCTTCCCCAAAGAACCCCGACAGATCCATCATGCGTTGTTCAGACTCGGTGAGGCCGTAGGGGGAGCTGGGGTAGAGTCCGTACTCAGAGTCGAGTGGAAGACTCTTGCATTTGTCCCTCCTGTACTGAGAGGGGCTGAGGCTGGTGTTCCTCTGGTGGCTGTAGGTGGCCGATGAATTGGCTTGCTTCAGCTTCCTGGCCATCATGTTTCTCTGAATTGGCGAAGGACCTCTTCTGGCCCTACTTTGCACTGTTTTGTCCAGTCCAGTACTCCAGGTCCCCAGTCTGCGATCACCGAGGAGGTCTGGCCTGTTTGCTGACAACCTCTCATTCCAAAATCGGTGCCTCTCCTCCTCCCCATCCCCCATCCTAGATTTGGGGCGTCTGTCCTCCTTTTCTTGATGCTGGTCGAAACCTCTCAACCTGGAGCCAGAGAATGCCAGCTGCCTTGTAGTACAGGAAGACAGGCTCCTTTCTCGGAATGGTCGGGGGTGTTTGGTTTCATGGAAACTGGCTGTTCTCTTGAAATGTGGATTCCTCATGTAGCCTCTTTCCACCATCTCCACCCATTCTTCAGTACGCTGATGCACACTGGGCTGAGAGGAGAGAGGAAGCTCACTGAGCTGTGAGAGCACAAAGTCCACTTTGGGACTCGGCCTCTCTGGAGAAACAGAGCTCTTGGGTTCTAAGAAAGGTGCCTTGATGCGGAAACGGCTTAATGCTGCTTCCTCCTGGCTTTCTGGCTGCTCTGGCATAATTACAGAGGTGGCATCCAGGACAGTGTCATTCAGGGGATTCTGGGACACATGGTAGACCTTGGTGGCCTCCTTCAAGCCTTTCTTCTTCATCTCCTTAAGCTGCTGCTGGGCAAGCCGGTAGCCAAAGATAGGAGGGATGATCTTCTGCACGTTGGGTGACAGACTCTCCCCAGAAGTGGGGTTGCTCAGTTCAGCTGAGAGAGGGTGGCTGTGCCTGCGGCCTACGGTCAGCTTGTCGAAAACTTCCTCAGCCTGCTCTGGCAGGGCCTCCAGGCTCTCAGAGAAACTGTGCCGTTGCTGGCTCTGGCAGTAGATGTTGACCTCGTCCGAGTTCTTCCTGAATCCCGGGGAGTGCAAGGAGCTGTGGCGGCGGACGGAGTTGCACTTTGGAGTCCGGCAGAGCTTCCTCCACAGCGTGATGAGGACAGTGGCCACAATCACTACAAGACAGATGGAGATGCCTGCCACAGCTACCATGTTGCCCATCTTTTTGCTCTCAGGGTGAACAGGAGCGAGGGAAGGTGAAACTGCAACCACTGCAAGAAATTGAAAAACAAATTAGGTTCTCTAAAAAAAATGTCTCATGAGGAAGTGTCCTTGTCACGCCCTCTGCAGCCAGAGGGCGCTCCTTCTCTGTCCTGTCCCTAGTTTCCGGTCTGCTGTCCTTCCTGTCCCTCTCTTCCTTGGGCTATATATTTCCGGGTCTTGCACTCTGTCCAGGCTCAGCATTGAGGTTCGGATGTCCTGAGACCCGCCTATCACAAGGGCGCCCCACGTCCGCTCCCTGAGGGCATAGGTTTCTATACGGCATTCCTGAACTCTTTGTATTAATGAGCCCGGGCCTTTTTCCCGTCTCGCCGCTACGCATATGGGTCTTTTTCCGCTCTCCTGCTCCCCACGGTTAGTCCCTTTGGACGTCCGTGACAGTCCTGTGATTTCTCCTCAATCCAGCATGCACACCAGACTGTGAGCCCTCTCATGTTACCCAGCCTCCCCTTTTTCCCCTGTGAGTCCATGTGAATGGAAAGGTTTGAACCAACTTTCAACATTCAATTCTCTGTGAGAAGGTAATTGTGAAGCAACCTAAAAGAGCAATGGCTACATTCCCTTTGAGGGAATTAAGGATATAACATCCATCCGTTTTTTAATTGCTTTATCCAATACAGTGGAGGCAGAGTCAAACCCAGCAAACAATGGGCAACAATTAATCCACCACTATGTCTTTGGACTGAAGGAGGAAACCAGAGCACCCAGAGGAAACCCATGTGACTACAGGGAGAACTTACAAACTCCATGCAGATAGCACCCCAGGAATTGAACCCAGGGCCCCAGCATTGCAAGGCTGTGATGCTAAATGCTGGGCCACTATACTGGCCAAGGTTATAACAATAAAAAAAAATGTTTGCCTTCCTGTGAATGTAGTGGTTACTGTACCTCTTGAGTAACATCTGTACCCCAGCAAATGCAAATAGATGAACTAAAAGCCTAAGGATACAGTGGTAATGGGTCATGAAAGTACTTGGAGGCAAAACGCACGAAAACTGCACTGCACCAGTCTGTAGAAATGGTTGAGTGTGGAGGGCAAAATTATTGCCTCAGTGAAGGCCCCATCACAAAAGATCCAAAATGTAAACTGCTCAGCAGTTTAAGAAGATGCTCCGTTTATAAGAATATTGGAGCCCGCTACATGTTGCATGAGTGCTCTGGATAGCAAACACTGCAGGCTGGGGAAAGCTCATTATAGTCAGGTAGCACCATTCCTGGGCCAGGAGATTTACAGTTCATATGCATAATCTTCTGCTTGTCTTGAAAGGTTTCATATGGTATGGAATTCCTTTCTTGCCAAGTGCCTAGAGATCTATTAGCCTGATACCGAGTGATGTAAATTGCGGTGGTTGCTGGAGGGCCTGGGTGTGACCCAGCCCAGTGTTTACCTGTGCAGTCCTCCAGGGAGCAGGGGGAGAGCTCTTTCTGCAGGCCGGTGCAGTGGGCCATCCCAGTAGAAGGCACCAGGCACTCCCGGTACCGCTGCCTCACCCCTTCACCACAGTTCACACTGCAGGGGCTCCAGGTTTGCCACCGGCCCCATGACTCTACAGGATGAGGTGAGGGAAAGTGAGTGCATTACAGCATTACAGCTCCGCCCGCTAAAAGCAAATCTAGGACTTATACTGGACCTTTGGAAATCCTGCTGCTTGAAGAATAATTCTAGCTTGGTGAGTCAACCCATCTGAAAATATCTGTGGAACCTCAGAGGTTTGAACCTTTACACATGTAGAGGTGACCAAGCAGTGCATTAATCTATCAGCCAGGATTACTGTAAAGATATCCCAAAAGTATGTCACCTGACATAATCTTAGCAGAAATAATAACACATAATATCTTGGCATTCTTGTTACGTATGGTACAGTACCTCACATCATATCACTTTCATTAACCACTTATCTAATTCAGGGTCACAGTGGTCTGGAGCATATCCTGGGAAGCACTGGGCACAGGGCGTGATACACCATGAATGGGACAAACATGCACACACTGACCCCAGTGTTAATTTTGCAGAAGCCAATTAAACTACCAGCATGTGTTTGGACTGTGGGAGGAAACCAGAGGACCCCGAGGAAGTGAACAATGGGAGAATATGCAAACTCCGCACAGACAGCACAAAACCAAATGAATCCAGGGCTCCAGAGCTGTGAGGCAGCCATGCTAACCACTGTGCCAGTGTGTTGCCCAATTATGGCACCTACAGTATGATTCACTGCATAATCTACTGTAAAAGCAAAAATGTACATGGCTAGTGGCAGTAACAGGAGGAAGAGAGGGGAGGCTGCAGGCATTATAGTAAGGAGATTGAGTCCTTTGAGATTTTGTGAGCTCCCCTACCACTGAGAGTATATACTAAAATCTCAGGCTTCAGATGAACTCATCTACACCCTTGCTCTCCTCAATCCCCAAACTAGCCCCAGGTTTTTTCAAAAGTTTTAAACTGCCAAGTACATATTGCCTTTCCTTTATGCACATCGCAGGGTGTGGAGCTTGAATTAATCTCAGCAGACACAATCTCTAGCAAGACTAAGCAAGCCATTAAATGAAGGAAGAGGTTGAGTCTGTCCTTCTTCTGTTTTTACACGAAAGGTTATTCTAGGAAAACCAACGCTATGGCTCCTCTGGCTACGTTAGAGTGTCTCCTCTTGCCCATCTTTTGTGACTCGGGCATGTCATTGCCGAAGCTCTTCGAGGTCTACTTTTTGCACGGGCACCAATCGGTAACTCATGAAATGGCGTGGCAAGGTGGAGTCTAGAATGAAGACTACAGCGCTGGTAGGTGAAGACAATGTTGGCAGGCGAGAAGGAGTGAGGTTTCAAATGGAGAGGGAGGGGGCAAATATCAGATATCTCTGAAACTGAAAAGAAAAAAAAAGACATTAAAAAACAAAAGAAATGCTAACCTGTGTTCCTCTGTACGACGATGCAGCTCTGGGCATGGCTAGGCAAGCGGCTAAAGTTTAAAATGAACTTAAAGCAGTACTTGTTTTTGCCCGGTTCAAACAGGGAGCAGTTGAATTCAGTTTCATTCTCTCCATGGGAAAGCCATTTAGACGCCACAGGAGGGCTGTCCTCTCCTGAGCCCGTGACTCCTTCCCGGTACAGGACCACCTTTCCTTGGGCGAAGGCACAGGGTGGGGGCAATAAGCGCACTGTCACTGTTCGCTCGCAGCCCAGCTTGTACACATTGTCAATGAGCAGCTTGTATGTAAATATCTGAGAGAGGTACAGCGGCCCTGAGGACTTTATGTCCCAGTCTGCATGGCGGGATTTCAGGGCCACCTTGATGAAATCCCGTTCGGTAAAAGGGAAGACACAGCCCAAATCCACCCACTGTGATTTCACAACAGCCACGTCCCTCCTGACCTGTGCCTTCACTTTATCAATGCTTACCTTCCCTATCGTGTTGTGCTCAAAGTAGCTGACCTCCAAGTAAACAGGGGACAAGTTCAAACGGCAGGGCTCAAAGTTGGTGGAAATCCCGATCTGAAAAGAGCTCGAGCTCCTGTTGCTCGTTCTCTGCACGCCGATGTGGAAAGGGGGCCACTGGACGTGCAGTACCTCACTCCACCACTGGGTATCATTGAGGCACCCTTTCTGCCCACCCAGCTGCAGCCAGAACCGGAATCTGCCTGCGTAGGGGAAGCAGGTGCAGTTAAACTCCACTGTGCCTTCTGACTGGTTTCCAGGTACAGGTCTGCTGGCCACTGTGGTATTAGCCTCTGTATCCACCAAGGAAATGGTCATGCTGCCATCGGTCACATTCCTGTCACAGTGGAAATCCACAAACACTGTCCCGTTGCTTAAAGCCACATATACTGCGGAGGGCCAGTAACGGATTTGGGCCAGAGCTGAAATGAAGTCAAAAGGAGTGGTGAGCATTTAGTTACAGTGTGTCCGTTTCAATTAACAAAAACAACCGCAACAAACTCGACATTTGCTAGTAAGGCAGGACACCTCAATATCAACTACCGTATGCGGTGAAAACTGAACGTTAGCGCTCAAGGATAGTTTTTTATTTTCTCTGATCCACCCGTAAAGTGGATGCCAAAAAGCGACATTTTTATTCAGTATGTTTAGTAATGGGCCAGCATGTTGGCGCAATGGTTAGC